CTGTCTAAGACTCTCTGATAAGGGAACGGGAATGAGAACTGCTAGAGAGCTCATCTCACCCACAACTCTCATCAGAAAAGAGCTGAGTGCTTAGCTTAGACTAGGCATCTGGCTTTAAATCACTGAAAATAAAGTAAATTCTACCCTGACTTCAGACCCAGCACAGCTGTGAAACTTGATAAACTGTTAGTGGGTGGCTGAAGAGTCCAAGGATGATGGTCAGAAGGCCTGAAGATCATTGCCTGCTGGCAATCAGCCTCTACATTATCTCTATCCATGTATCTATACTGGTTGCAGGTGAAACTCCATCTGTTTCAAAAAGCAGCTTGAAGTGGGAATGGAGAGACAGCTCAGTGCCAGCTAAGGAGAAAGAAAAATAATTTCTCCACAGTACTTGAAGTCTCTTGATAGTCAGCATTTTTTAGGTAACAGCAACAGGGAAGAAACTAAGAACAATGGCAAAATAGGTTTCCAAAGACAGTAATAATAAAATAGAATAATTCAGCTGGGAAGTACCTATAAAGATCAAGTCCAACTGCTATGGACTCCTAACAGGAGATAGTTTATGATGTGGTTTAATAATAACAAGGGTCCTAAAGATAAGCTCAAAACACCATAGAAAGACAAAATTACAACAGCTGAAAAGGAGGAACTGCTCACAAGAAAAAGAAATTTTCGAACAGTAAAGAGGAGACATCACCACAAATGAAAAGCAAATATGAATGTTCTGAATATTACATTTTTTGTAAGAGGTCCAAGTGCATAATACTGTAGACTGCTAGGTCTGTTCCGAACAAAAAATCATCCTGTCTGAGAAGTCGATTTAATTGTAGCAACAAGCAGGGTGTAGGGAAAGATTTTCTTACAATTAGTAATGGAAAAGGAGGTATCCAGCATGATGAAACTATGTAACACTGCTGAGCAGTTGATGCAGGCTCCTTCCCCAGCCGCAAGGACAACCCATAACTGCCATTAACTAAACATGGTATCCATGTGATAGCCTGTATCTTCCTGCACAACTAAAATTAAGTATTTCACACTTCTCTCTTAAGCTTTCATCAGTGAAAATAGTAATGAGGGGGTACAGTTCAGTCTGGCCCTACTGATGTTCAGTGACACAGACAGTGGGACTGAGTGCACCCTCAGCAAGCCTGCTGATGACATCAAGCTGAGTGGTGCAGCTGATATGACAGGAGGAAGGGAAGCCATCCAGAGGCATGTAGACAAGCAGGAGAAGAGGTCCAATGAGAACATAATGAAGTTCAACAAGCCCAAGTGTAAGGTGCTGCATTTGGGTCAGGACAATCCCAAATATGAGTACAGACTGGGAGAACAACTCACTGAGAACAGGCTGCTGAGAAGAACTTGGGGGTTCTGATGGACAAAAAGGTGGACATGAGCCAGCAGTGCACTTGCAGCCCAGAAGGCCAATTATATCCTGGACTGAATCAACAGAGGAGAGGCCAACAGGAAGAGGGAGGTGGTTGTTCCCCTCATTCTGCCCTTGTTAGGCCTTAACTGCATACAGGCCTGAGGACCTCAGGACAAAAAAGATGAGGAGTGCTGAAGTGGGTTCAGAGGAGGGCTACAATGATGATCATAGGGCTGGAGCCTCTCTCCTATGAAGAAAGGTTGAGGGAGCTAGGACTGTTCAGCCTGGCGAAGAGAAGGCTCCAGGGAGACCTCACATTGTGTCCTTTCAGTACTTTAAGGAAATTGCAAACAAGAGAGAGACCAACTTTTTACATAGGCAGATACTGATAGAACAAGGGGGAGGAGCTTTAAACTAAAAGAAAGGAGATTTGGATTAGATATTACATGGAGATTCTTCACTCAGAGAGTGGTAGGGCCCAGGCACAGCTGCCCAGAGAAGCTGTGGGTGCCCCACCCCTGGAGGCTTCCAAGGCCAATGTGGATGGGACCCTATCTGGTGGGTAGCAACCTGCGCATGGCAACGGTTTGAAAGTGGATGATCTTTAACATTCCTTTCAACCCAAACCATTCAGTGATTCTATGATCTTTGGGACATAACATTGAAGTGGGTGATAACTCATTCAAATGGTAAGCCCTGTTCAATTTGGGCATTAATGAAGGTATATAACACAACATGTGACATGGTTATCTGCAACCAAAGGAACAAGATCACAAGTGACCAAGCATGTCCTTTTGGTTCTATGTTGCTATGACTTCTCTTTAATTTATTATTTAACACAGACAACAGTGTTGGCATGAAAATAATTGAAATAGAATATTTAAAAGGGGATTATAATCACAAGGGAAATCAACTTTTTACACAAGTTGATAGTGATAGGACAGGGGAAATGGTTTTAAACTAAAGGAGGGAAGATTTAGATTGGTTGTCAAGGGGAAGTTTTCACTGAGAGGATGGTGAGGTGCAGGTATAGAGTGCCCAGATAGGATGTGGATGCCCTCTTTCTGGAAGTTTTCAAGGCTAGATTGGATGGGACCCTGGGTAACATGATCTAGTGCTTGATCTAGTGACTTGCAACTATGTCTGTGGTAGGGGAGTTGGAATTTGGTGATTCTTGAGGTCCCTTCCAACCCAAGTCATCGTATGATTCCACAGCTCTACAATTCTGTGCTTCCCAAAGCATCACAGAAACATTCCTTCTCACCTCTAAATTGTACCCAGAGTGAAGTTGGCAAAAGCCTCCAACAAGTTAGTCATGTAGGGTTCAGCTACACAATCAAGATGTTTACTGCAATATTAACAGTCATAATAACTGCTTTGTCTACACACTTTTAATTCGCTGAAAATGTGAAGCAAAAGGTGCTTGCTCAGACCTCAGAGAATAAGTGCTACACAAATGCATTTTATCTTTTATCATTATCATAAAATATGCACATTAGCAAAATGAGTGATAATTTTACCCAGCTTTACACAAGCAACAGCACTAGCAGGTCTGCTTGGAGACCAAAGCAGTGCTGAACCACACCAGTACTCAACTCAGAAATTACCACAATTAACGCATAAAGATTCTGTGTTAACAACAGGTGATGAAGAATGTACAAAGAACACACATCTTTTTTCAGTAATTGTTATTATTCTGGGGCACAGATTCAAAATGATGACATAATCAAAATAAATTATGTTTGTGACTAATACAATTGTTTTTTCTTTTTTTCTTCTTTTTCTTTTTTTTTTTTTTTTAAGATAATAGCTGAAGTCACAAAAATGCTGAAGCCCTTATTTAAGTAAGGGTACAAAAATTAAGCAACATTAATATAAAATCTTTACAAGTCTGAAAAATTATATTTGTTTAGTTAATGTAGAAAATGGAAAATCAAGTACACAAATGGTAATTTAATGTTACTTTACCATGTATATGAAGATACAGCTTGTTCTGTTCCCCAAATTTTGACATCAAAGTAATGACAAAAAAGAGTAGCTTCAGAAAGAAAATGCTGTGTTTGAAATTTTCTTTCCATTTAAAAGAGATCTGAACTGTGCATCTCATTGCTATGTTCTGCAGCGGCAGTAACACAACCTAAAGTATTGCCATAAATCATATGATATTTTATTGCAGTGAACATCTGCTGCTCCTGGATACAGATACATAGTCAAGGGAGCACTTTAAAGAGCTAAGGAATGCCAGGTACATTCATTATTGAAAAATAATGTTCAAACCAGTATTTCTTTTGCTTTTGCTATTAAGACTACACAGCTTATGAAGTTAAAAAAAAAACATTAATGGTTACACTGATTTATTGTATTTCTAAATTAAGACCACACCTTCAAAACCTTTCATTGAACAGATGCCAAAAGTCTTGCTAAAGTTAGGTTAGGCATAGTGAAAGAACAATATAGTATTAAGCTTACAAAAAATCTTAACCAAAGCCATGATTTCCAACAAAAGACCCTAATGTTTGTTTTGGGACTCAGTCACTTGAGTAAATACCTAAGTTCCAAAAAACACCTGGATGCAGAGAAGTGCAAGGTAGAGTCCAAATCAATGCTCATGCAAGCTGGTACACCCAAACAGCCCAGTGTTCTTCAAAGTAATTTTGGTCCAGAATTTGCATGGCACAGTGCCTGGGCTAACATGTCCTGCTTTTCAGCTGTTTAATAGTTCAGGCTTGGTGCCAAACTAACAGGGCCATATAGCATCAGGTTCTGGAGCAGCATATAGTGCTATATAAGCTATATAAGCTATATCAGCAGGACCTTAGGAGAAAAATGCCAATAGATCAGATGCTACTTTTGCAAATTTTCTTCCTCAAAGTTTTGAAGGCTACTTCCTTACGGTGCTTACATGCCAGTTCTTAGGCCTGAGTCTTCCACATGGAAGAATAATAGCAGCCTTCTACCTACTTGTCTCCCTGCAGCTTTTGGCAGATGGTTCTCTTAGCTATCCAACTGCTATTATGGAGACAAACTTTTCCTTGGTGCTTCATGCTTCTATCACAGAAAGAGCTGTTTGAGGTTAGACAGTTTACATTCCCACTGCCAAGCAAGTAAGAGAAGGCAGCCAGAGCTCCAGTATAGCAGAGCAGTTGCTTCTTTTCATCCTACAGAAACAATTATTAAGAAACTGCTTCTGCCTGCCAAGTCTATCTTCTTATAACGACACAGACATTTTCTGATAGATGTATTATGTTATGTACTATGGTTCAAAAAGACTGGTTTTGGAAGACTTCAGAAGTACCTGCTTAAAAAAAAAAAAAAAAGGAAAAGGAATTGTGAAAGCAGGAGTGCATCTTGTAAAGGACATAAAATCAACCAATATGCTACTGGGACAAGTGAACATTTGCTCTGTGAATCAAGAGTACCCTCTCAGAACATGTGCAGGAGAAATGAGAAAAATATGGGCTGGAAAAAATTCTTAAAAATAATCAAAAAGAGAATGGAACAAATCAATAGTGAAGGAATAACAATTTCCTAAAAATGGTCATATAAATGCTTTGTAGCTATAAGTACTAGCTGTTACCAGTTTGACTGGAATTACTGCTGACTACAAATGAAATAAACGAATTCTTACCATCAACAGCCAGTGATACAATGCCTTGTGTGTCCTCAACTCCATACATCACATCACAGCGGTACACCCCTGCATCACTTGCACGCAGCCTAGAGAAAGTCAGCGAAGCATCGCCGGTCTCCTCTGAATGGGTTGGAACAGACACCCTGTCCTTGTAGTTCTGGCCTATTTTGATGTTCCCATTCTGGGCCACAAGGACTGTGGTTTCTTTTGCATCTTTTCCACTTTTATCCAGTTCAACCTTTGACCATTTGATTCGAAGATACTCGGCTGCGTAGCTGGAGGCTATGGTGGGTGTGGTTGAAAAGAAGCATGGAAGCACTGACGTTCCAGAGAGGGATCCCTTCACCAGGGTTTTTTTTTCTGCCTTAACTAGAAGAATGGGAGAAAGGAAGAGAAAGGATATATCACATTAGCGACCAGCAAAATCAGAAACAGTTACATTTCATCACTGTTTAATGATTAACAGACTTTTAAGACCTGAACGCCACAGACCCTAGCTGGTTCACAACAGATCTAACCAGAGTAAGCCAAAACAGTCTGTACCAACATCCTCAGCCCTTGACTGAGCTCTTTCCTGTCTGAGTAAATTAATTCACTGCTCTTTGATTTGTTTTTTCCATTTGTTGTAGTCACTGACTGTAACATGGATTGGTATTGGAAACTGTTTTGAAGGTTACAGATGACAGCTGAATTGTAAGAGCTATGTTTTCAAACTTCACCAGACTAAAACCAGTTGGTGAAAGACAACCAGATACCTCACACTTGTTGCTGGCCAAAACTAGGCACTTAGGGGAGCTAGTGATGTTTACACTTTGTTTTACCTTACAGCGGCCTGTTCATGTGCTCATGTAGTAGAAGTAAAACACAGCTCAAGACTTTACATACATTGCATTCCTTACTCCATTTCTCTTTCAAGGGTTAACTCTTTTTATTGTATACATGCTGAAACAAAAGCCTTTTCAGTGAGATTATCCTAAGTTGTCATTCTTTCAAAATTATTTCCTTGTAGCCCAGGGGCCTTTAACACATTACAGAAATGGGGTATTTTAGGATGTTAAAGGAAAGAAGGAAGCAAAGCACACAGAAAGTCCCTGCTTGGCTCAAACTTGACTTGATAGGACCTTTATCATTTTTATGACATCTACAGCTGCAAACACTTTACAGTGAAATGCTTCCATCTGACAATATCCCAAGGGGAAAGTTGACTACTGTTCATCCAACCTGCATACAGCAACTGTCTGAAAACAGGATTTCTGTTAGATTTATGTTGTTATGTGATGTTATTTCACCATATCTAATGGCTTAATGAAGATTAAAGGCTGAAATATAATAGAATCTATATGTCCTCTTTCACTGACCTGCTAAATTTCTTGAAAAAAACATTTTTTCAAAGGCTGAAAATGCTAATCATTAATTTGAAGTCAACTAGGATTCATAAAATTTAGAAAAAAAATGTCTTTAAATATCAGGAACCAGCATGAAAAATGAGATACCAGTACTTGAAAAGTTATCTAGTTATTTAACTACCATCAAAAACATCATTACACTATAGAGAGCAGAATATTTTGAAAGAAAAACCGGAGAGAAGAAGAAAAAGCAAAAAAAAAAAAAAAACTCTTTATTAAGCTGATGATTTTTAACAGATGCACATCACACAGAGAATAAAACGTTAATAGTAACATCTACAAAGATATTCAACAATCACCAGTATGACAGCCATGCATTTTTACAACAAAGTTCTAACCAGAAAAATACTGGCCCAGTCAAGGATGACCAAGAAGTTGGAACGGAAGTCCTCGAATCATTTCCATTCATACCTACCTAAGTTAGGATTCTTGGGAACTCAGTGCAGAAATGCTCGAGCTAGCTTTATCAGAACTGATTAGACCAGAGAGAATCTAACAACAATGGAGTAGCATTCTGCCAATACAGCTGCACTGCAACCAAAGCTCAGCTGAAAAGTTCACACAGAACTGAGCTGATTTACCAGCAAGATTTTTCACTCTGATTCAGGCATGTAGTGAAATTTTCAGTCTTACAAGCAAAGATGGTGAGATACTACAACTCATGTTTAACAAACACAACCTGAGCAAGATCTAGAAAGGATGTGTTTATAAAACAGTGAATGACAAAAACAGGATCAACATATAACTAAGACTGAACAATTCACAAGGCTTTAAGACAAGCCTGCAGAGGTTACTGAAGACTGTAGACTAGCTCAAAAGCTTTGACTGCAAAGACATTTCTTTAAAAAAAGATACTGAAACAAGAATTTTGAGAAGTCAGATATTGTTTAAAAAGAACAAAAAACTTGACTTCCCTAGAACAAACTGATTGCTAACAAGCATAATGGGCTGGTTTTATCCCAAGATTTACAGTAGGAAAACATCACTAACTCTTATATCACCTTGAATTCCTTGAAACTTTATTTAATTACAGTTGGTAGAGCTAGAGAAATAGAATGAATGCTCAATTCTATCAGTTGTGATGGAAAAACTGCCAAATCGCACAGGTGGGAGATTAAAATCACTTTCAAAATATTTAGTTTTTATTATGATCTCTTGTCATCTATATACATTACAGGAACTTCTTAAATGAAAAACGATCTAGTTATAATTACGCTGACTGACAGAATTTTAATAAACTTTCAAAGGAGTTGTTTTCAGTTATGTATGATCTAGAATATCAGTACCAAACCCTGAGGAAATTTCCTCTTCAGAATTTGTTTCTTCTCATCAGTAGAATGAAACCCTTGACAGAAAACAGATATCATAATGATATGCAAATTAGATCTACCCTAAACTGGACTATATCCAAGAATAAAGGAAAAACTATGTACCAACAAACTCATCTAGCTGTAGAAAGCACTATGAAGTGCTTTTAAAAGCACTCTGTTTTGACTAGCAAATGAGAAGAAGAGAAAAGAGGAGAAAATACACTTTGCTGAAGAAAAAAGTTTTGTATTGAAGATCAGGAGATATTCCCATGCAGTTTAAAAAACTTGGTTTCTTGAGTAGTCCAAGCTAATTGAGACAGACTGTACTTTAGAAGGGATGCAGTCAACAAAATGCAAACAAAATATTTTGTAACTGTTTGTAAATATGAATACGAGCTGAGAAAAGCAGATATTTACCCAATCATCAGTGAAGAGCAATCTTAGCACTGAACATTGTTTCATACCACATCTTCACCTACCCAAGTAAAACCTAAAACATTGATAACACTCTTAAATGAGATATGGATTTGATATGACTAAACTGTCTGGCAATTAATATAAGCATACTTTTCTGTTACTAACTAAAATGCATCACTCTTGAGCATATTTAAGTCCTAAGGGAAAATACATAGACAATAAAGAAACAAAATACACAGTTAAGTCCAAGTAATCTGGCTACAGATCTATCTTTCAAGAACTGCCAGTAAAGTCAATGAGAGCTTTGTACTAGATGATGGGTCAGCAGATTCAAGCCCAGAGCATGACATGCAGTCAGGTTATCAGCAGACTCTCCGTATCTTAGCAGCTGGATTTTTATGTCTTCCTCAATTTAAATATTAAATAGCTTCAATATCAGAATAAGAAGCAGGAACAGAATGAAGATCTTTCCCATACAGTGTTCTGACAGGAAACAGTCCTGACAGGATAGGGTTTTCACAGACTAAACAATGCTGTATATTCCCCAAACCTAAAGCTAAAACATTTTAATCAGTTTATCATGGAGATGATGGTACATGTGAATATTTTTCCCTAGATGACTTATCTTACCAATGACATGTATTTTTACATGTTTCTCTTGAAGCTGGACACAAACTACTTCTTGCTTGAGCACAAAGCAGTTCCTTAGAATTCTTTGTGCAATTTTTTGTCATCAATGTACTTATAGGATATATTTCCTATCAAGAACAATTGCAAAGACCAATGAAATTGTGTATTGTCACTCTAACTATTAAGACTGAGCCTAAGAGATGTCTTTTCATTAACCCTCATTTCTTTAATAAAGATACTGAAAAACTAAAACTTAATGCACAGTTTTTACAAACTTGTATGAAATTTTGATAGCAGAGGTAGCAGAAAGATCAATACCAATAAAGTCCTCACTAAAGTTCTTTACGAGGTAATCCGTAGTTTTAAGATACAGAGTAAGAAAAGGAGGCAGAGTAAAGAAAAAGCAATTATTGTCATATTCTGCAAGAAAATCATTTTGCCAGAAAAACATAAATTCCAGCTGCCAAACTCAGTGTAACATGCATACAGATGTGCAAACATTATAAACAAGCACACGTGTTTTATAGCACATATAACATTAACATGATATGCCAAGTTGACGTATATTATTTATACCTTCAGAAGGACATTATCACATACTGTAACCTAAGACGTTTGTATTCTCTTATGGATTATAGGGCTTTCACAAAAACACACTTATTCTTGATATCATAAATTGTATAATGAGCAAGGTAAACTTCAACAGTGATCATAATCACAGGGTCCAGCTTGTAAACTAGAGAATTGTAACACCAGTTAGTTCAAAGTGAGTAAATGGCAGGCTAGGAGTAGGTGTAAACCTTGCTCATGAACTTTCATCATTAATCCTTCCAACTTTCAATCATTAATCCTTAACACACACCACAGCATGTCATCCAGAGAATGGCAGTGAAACTGGTGAAGGGTCTGGAGCACAAGTCTCATGAAGAGTGGCCGAAGGAATTGGGAATGTTCAGTCTGGAGAAGAGCAAGCACAGGGAAGACCTTAACACTCTCTACAGCTGAAAGGACTGAAAGGAGGCTGTGGCAAGATGGGGGTCAGCCTCTTCTCCCACAAAGCTAGCAATAGGACAAGGGGGAACGGCCTTAGTTGCGTCAGAGAAGGTTGGAATTGTTGGATATCAAGAAAGACTTCTATGAAAGCACAGTCAGGTGCTGGCTGGGCACAGGCTGCCAGGGAAGTGGTGGAGTCACGGCCCTGGATGTGTTCAAGAAACACATTTCAATGAACTCGTTTAGATGTTGTACTTAGGAGCACGCTTTAGTAAGGCAATATTGGTAGTAGGTGGATGGTTGGTTTAGATAATCTTGGAGGCTTTTCCAACCTTGACAATTCTATGATTCTATAACCTAATTAATCTCTTGGATTCCAGAATTAATAACTTTGTTTGCCTGTTTTTTTAAAAAAGAAGTGTTTGGGGGAACATCCAATGAAAGCCTTTTGGAGCTACTGGAAGAGAAAAGGAAGTGCTTAGGAAGGAACCACAGTAAGCAACTGAATCAATGATGCCAAAATCAAACATCAGACTGAATGACAGATGATTAGAGAACAGTGCTGTGCAGACTGGATAGTAAGGTTAGCCTCTAAACAGTACACATTTTCAAATATTATTATTCTCAATTGATGTTTAAAATTTTCAACACAACATTTTTCCTAGCAGAAAATGCCAACTTGCCAAAGCTTATTTCTTTCATAACTGTTGATTTTGACATTTTGAAATTTCCTATATGATTTTCAAAAGAATGATTCTAAGCTTTCAGAACAGTTTTAACTAAAAGGAAACATTGCCATTAATAATAGGCAAGTGACTATTCAATTAACCCATATGGTTAACCAAGCCTATTTTGGGAACAGAAATTATGGGAATCTGTGTTTCACAAAAGATTTCAAGGCATCAATATTGCATTCAAATTCAGGATTAAAAAAAAAAAAAAAATGAAATGTAAGAAATTCCTGTCTAACTTTTCAAAATGCAAACACAGATATTATTTTAAAGGTGTTTTTTCTTTCTTTTTGTTCTAAACAGCAGGACTGGAAAGGTTTGTCCGTGACCTTGTTATATTCATCCTCAGAAAAGTTATTACATAAACTTACTATTATTTCTACAAAACAGAAAGATATGGATCAAGCCCAGATTCTATTGGATTGATTCACATTAAAGTTTACCTCATCTTTGTCCTCTTCAGCATGACCATATTCTGAAGAATTTCCCATTTGAGAATTTCTATGGCTAAAGTATGATACTCAACTTCAAAAATAAAACCCGTAAAGTCCACAGTGTATTTCTAGGAACATAAAGGTTTTTCTGCACTTCTTCCAAAAATTTCAAGTTAATAAGGACAGGTCAGAACTTGGTCTATATTCCTGAGATGAGCACACCAGCACATCCACGGAAAACTTGTTTGTGTTCTTGAAATTCTTTTTCTGGAAGTCACACGAATCATTTATAAACCATTTCAGAGGAGATGATAGGTGGAGTAAGTTGAGGGGCACCCAGTGATGTCATTCCTTGTTCTACCTATCAGTCTCACCTCTCCACAAACACTGATGCACTCCTAATTCCCTAATTCTACCAGCTCAAACAATTGCGTAAATAAGTGAGGCAGATCAAAGATCTGATCCAGCTGAATACTAACTTGCAAAAACAGTTTTCCGACGTCTTTCAGACAAGTCATTTACCTGACTGAGCTGGACAGATATACCTATAAGTACTGTCAACACAAAGAAATACATGTCAGCTGGCACCAGGGTACGGAGAAGGGGCAGAACTACCCCATGTACTGCTAAATGATGTATGTGAGATTAGACTGACCATTGAATTATGCCCTAAATAAACATGATCAGATTTTCAATTGGTTGTAATAGAAATGTCTGCTTTACATATAATGTCAGATTCATTTGTCTGCTTATTCTCTTCATACATGCTCTTCACCAAAAGGTTGATTATCAGGTAAAATCTTAACTTCATACCTCTCATCACATGAGTGATGTACAAGCATTTACTCCATTTTAAAGCTGACTAATAATGCTACAACTTATCAAATAAGAATTTTTAAGTTCCCTATGTAAACTGACATTGTTAGTCCATGACTTCTTCTGACAATCACTTGCTTTGCCTTCCAGAATACTTCATATGAACAAATAATTAAATGCCTGCAGATCCAAGAGCTGTACATCAGAGCATATTTACAGACATTTTACTGAGTAAAAAATGGGAGGGAAAAAAAAAAAGAGCTTGACATTTAATAACCAAATGAGTCTCAGCCCTCAATAAATGTGAAAATGGAAGCTTAGTTTTAATGCCTTGTCTCTCCCTGAAGCTTTGTGTCCATTTTCTCTGAGAATGTCTTCTAATTGTCTTGGTCTGCTGTGTTTTTAGCAAAGAATGGAGAAACAAAACTAGATTTAAGGAGGAAGGGAAGACAGGAAACAGAGAAGGATAGTTCTCCCAACCTAAGTGAAAAAAAAAACAGTCCACCATTTTTTCTTCTAAAGTCAACAGTTAAGCACAACAGTTTTTATCTTACAGGAAAAACATCTAAGAAAGAACTTTACTATACACAGTATAAGAGCTAATAAGTAATTAATTAAATTAAAAAGTCAAAAAAAAAGAAAAGTATAAAGAGTATATCTGATTTTCCAAAGGCTCCTGAGAAGAAGAAGTAGAATAAAAATTGTCTTGATTTGAGGCTTGGGAAAACTATCATCCCAATTTTCAGAATCTGCAGCTGCTGTAGGAACCTACTCCCTACTAATCTTGAGTCAAAAGTTTCAAATCATAGCAATCATATACAAATATGTACTTTAGTAATAACACGTAATCACCATGAGAAGCAAACAGGGCTCCTACTTTCTACCCAAAGCTAAGACCTGCAGCTGCTTTAAGATGCTTCTGTTCCAGACCCCAGCAGCCAGGGGCCTGTCACAGCTTCCAACCAGCTTGGCCTACAGCAGCCCCCACCACAGAGGCTCTGGCAGACACACTGCCCATGCCAAAGGCATGTCTCCTTAGGCTCATTCTTCAGTTGTCACAGAGGCAGGCAGAGACTGGGGTTCTTGGTTCCTCCATATCTCACTTGTATGTGGCACTTTTCACCCTGAATATAGAAAGTGTCAGAGACATACAAACTCATAAGGCTGCTGTCGCATCAATTATATGAGTGTATGCATTGGGATCTGACTGCTAGGTGTTCAGAACAGCTGTTCCTGTAGACCCAAGACTCCCCCACTTAATTTGCAACCTCTGCAGCCTGACTAGGTCTGTAGCAGCAAGCTGCTCTTGCTCTCATGCACTGGCACTTCTCACTGCTGAAGCCCTCATGAAACTGTTTGCCTTTCACCAAAACTATCCCCCCCCAGTGGTCCCCACCTCACCCACGCAGGGGAACTTCCCTGTAGGCCATGCCAAACGAAGGTGTGAGACATATCTGACGAACAGGTCTAACATTTCACAAACAGAGGTTAAAGCAGTTAAGACACATTCCTGAACATTTGAAGAAGGCAAGCTGTTTCGCTTTTTGCTTTCTAATGTCTTTATCACATTATCACACTGTCTTTATCATTACTTGAATTATAGTAATGGCACTGACAAACCTCAGGAGACTCAAATAGTATGTAAAAACCTTGGCAAAAACATGCTCACCCACCAAAAGTTTTCTATGTAAATCAGTAGGCAAAAGGGAGAAAACAGGAACAAAATTAGTTACACAGTACAGAGATAAAATCAGAAAACACGTTTTCCCCAGTCCTGGGAAATACTTTACCAATTGGACCATGCTGCTTCCCGCTGTCACTGGAATGAATTTTAATAAATTATTCCATGCATAACAGACTTACCTTTAGGTAGCATATAAGTTATAGCTATATAAGTAGAGCACATCCATATGATGCTTTTTATATTTAACAACATCTTGACCTACAAATAAAGAGAAAGAGAATAAGTGATTAGTTTAACACTGAGTCCTTACAAAGTGTAGCAAGTCAGTACAACTTTATTTATCATTGGTTGATACTAGAAGCAGTCGTGAGCTCAAAAAATGATGTTCAGCAGGAAAATGAATAATATTCTGATCTTTACCATTTTATACCCTGTTTTAAATCTGATACCACACAGCAACAGCAGTCTGTAAGTACAATATGATGACTTCTTCCTCCTGTAGAGCTGCCAGTTCAGATGCAGCCTTCAGGAAGTTCTGCATCCATAACACAGACTGCCCTATCAATTAGCATCAGCAAATAACCTTAGATTGAAAAGAGTCTCCCACAACAACTTCATGAATTCAGAGCATGAATCAACATCTGCACTATGCACTATGACCCTTTCCATCTACAAAAGTCCTGCTTTTAAAATTGCTGTATGTATTGTTTCATAGTGGAGATTTATTATAGCGTCAATGTAATATAGATTCTAATGACTATAAAATACTAATTCATAATGAATTTCAGTTTATTGACTCTGCAGTAATAAACAAATGTGTCAATCCCCTTTATGTTCACTTATTGCTTCTTTTACAGGCTCCATGCTCTAACAGCTGAAAACATATCTAGCACATACATAATACATTGCATGTTCATAATGGTATGTTCTTATTTTTATTCCAGTTGCTAATCACACATCTGCAATTATCTTGCAAGCTTAAGAAGCATTCTAGCAAGACCATCACAATTCCCATAAATGTCAACTATTGGAAACATAGAATCATAAAGGTTGGAAAAGACCACTAAGATCAGTTAGCCCATCCACCGACCCACCATCACCATTTTTTAAAAACAGTTCCTTCCTCACACAGTTATACATATGCACTACTGAGGCACCATAAGGAATAGCTTTCAGCAATGATTTGTCAAATGCCCTTGAGAAGTTTTAAATCACAGAACAGTGAGTTTCCTGATAATGCTGTCAAAATACACTACCTTGCTCGGAAATAGGCAAGAAACCTGAACTCTAAGATAGATTACAGCTGAACAGCAAAATAAGGATTAAACAGATCTATGTTATTGCTATGAACCTTGTATTACTTACACATTTTCTTCCATTTTTTACATTAGCATTTTAGTTATTTAGTATTTATATGTAACGTTGTAGGGTTAAAGCCTTAACTAATAAACCCACAAACCTCCATAAGCTATACTGAACACAAAAGTGAAACACGCAGAGTAACTTCCTCAAAAAATTACTGATGATGTGTTCAACCCCAGAAAAACTCCCTATACTGTTAACAGCTGCAGCCCATACTTCACATGAATCTGTGTGAATTGGCACCTGACCTGTAAGCACTGAATGGTTCAGAAAAGATGCAAAACATCTCAAATGAAGACTTTTCAGTGAGGCAGTCTCTAACATAACAGCATCATGCTCAAAATTCCCACCCAAAAGGGTTGAGAATCCAAGACATTTTCATTCCCCATATGCAGATGGCCAGGGCTGGCTGGTTGCACTGGGAAACATATGCTGCAACCTATTCCCAGGGCGTGGAGGGAAGAATACAGCTGCTTTCCACAGAGCAGGCTGCATGTTGCCAAAGACGCCTCATCTCTGCTTCATCCATTTGACAGAGCTCACAGCATGATGTGATATCACTGATTTGGCAATATTAACTTCACAGAAACTGCACTTTTTATGAGCGAGCCCCAAACAAAAACCAAGACATCTCTAACTTTATTCAGTTTGAGCTCCATCCTCCACTAAACTTTTTCTGAGGACTCGAACACTAACTGGCTGGTTTTATCTTTCTCCCAGATAACACAAGCAAAGCAGCAAATGGAGAATACACGTGTGTATTTCACAACTAACTTTAAAAACCTATACTGTGCCTCAGAATACTATGTTCCCATAGAACACTGTCAAGAGTAAGAAGGTTGCACTTGGTAAGAGCTGCAGACATCAGAGTGCTTTGAATGTTTTCTTAAATAAACGCTAAAGTGATCCCTGTTATTACACAACATCTCAGAAAATGAGAGGTCACTGTGAGACTGCAGATGTGCTCTAACCAGAAGATTTTTCAAGCACCTTTGTGTCCTGAAACTACTGTAAAACACTCAGGCCATTGCCAACTAGCCCCTGTAGCAACACAAGTACTGTGAAGGCAGCACACAAAGGGGATTCTACAGTGTTCTCCAACCTCAAAGACGGTGAATGCAAAACCTCTGGCCTTTCTGAAGACATGGTAGTTCCAGACCTTGCGAGCTGTTCTGTCCACATGCTTCCCATGTGTCACACACTGGCTACATCAAAAGCTAAACAAAAATCTAGAACAAACTATTTACAAGTTTAGCTTTCCATGTTTACCCATGCACTACACATCCCTTCTCCCTCAGTAGGCAACTCTGGCTTTTGAGACCAGAAACAAGGGATCTGGACAATGGGATCAAACAAGTTCACAATGGAAAAGGAACAAATGACTTTCCAGGAAGACAGGTATGCAGCACCTAAGCAGGGTGGGTTGCACGCTCCTCTGCAATAGCTGCTCCTCTGTCAGTGGACAACATGTACCTGTGCAAGCTCTTGTGTCCCTAGAAGCTCACTGGAGTACTGTGACACAAAGTGGTGCAACCAGTCCCACATGTGGGTAATTTCACCAGACCTGCCATCATATTGCAGAGCTGCTGAGAATCATCTGCAGTTGGTGTACAAAAGATCTCACCTTCTCGTTCCTGCCCACCTTGCACACAAACACAGAGTGCCATGCCTCAACCACAATGCTGGTAACAGCATTCTTAACACAGTTTAAGGAATCTCGTTGTAAAAACATCTTCAGCTTTCAGCCACTGAATAAAAAAACCCAAACACATATACTCAAAATGAAATGTGGAAACAGAAAAGACAACTGCAGAGAGATGGCTTACAAGACACCTTGTGACTGCTGAGGACCAGATGGTATCAAACCATTAGAGCACTCATGGTTGGGATCTTGACTTGACCTTGTGATGAGGACTGATGAAATTATATTTGCTATAGTAAGAGTTCACACAGCTCAAAAAAAAAAAAAAAAAAGAAAGAAAGAAAAAAAATCCAAAATGTACTGTACATGACCACAGAGCTTAATATGAGACACCTGCCAAAAATCCCCACCCAGCACTTCAGAAATCTCTCCTCACACAATTTTCTAAATCTCCCCCACCATGAGGCCTTTAAGCAATGAAAAATGCTGGGGGAAGGGTTCAACCCTTGGGTTCATGAACATCACAAGCACAACTGCCATGCAATATGCCATGAATGAGAGTTTTCACAGCCTGGTCCTCCATAGGATGGTTCCTATAAAAACTCCTGTTTTACAAAGTGCAGCTATACCACAGGCCTGTTACCCTGCCTGAGAAACAATGGTTAGATGCAAACAGCAACACCCAGCCCAGCCTGGAAAAAGCACATGGGCCTCTCTTGGCATGCACCAATCTCCCTCAAAAGCAGTCCACAAGGCAGAGGAGCCTGCTAGCAACCAGTACCTCAGTCACTTAGGAAACTATGATCAGACGGGACTGCTCCTGCAACAAAATCTTTGCTCTAAGAGTGGTTTGTATTTTTTGTCCTGCCCTCTGCAAAAGCCTCTGCTGGCTGGCTGCAGTATTAAGTATGCAGTAAGTAGCCAAGCTCTTTCCAGTCATACCTTCTCCATGAGCTTTTTTTTTTTTCCCCTTGGTGTTGCTGCACCTAGAGAAAGAAAAAGCCATAACACTAAAGACAGAGCAAGAAAGTCCTGCCAACTAAAGGCTGCATGATTTGAGAAAGTGTTTAATTTCCACCTCCTAAAAAAAAAAAAAAAAAAAAAAAAGCATCTTACTTCATGTGACCACACTTAGGTTGCCCACTGGCAGGAGTCCAACTGGACTGGTCCACTTCATTCAGAGTTGCTGCACATGGATTGATTCATAGCAGTCGTTTGCATCACATTTCTAAACTGGATGCAGATCTGAGTTTTAAGCAAAAGACATCAAGTCCCTGATAAACTTTATATCTCTGAAAACTAACGGTGGGGGTTCTCCCTCTGGGCAGAGAACAGAGCTCCTATTTTTGCAGGCGCTGCTCCTTTCCCTACAACAGCAGAGTGTCATAGGAGCAGTAAGCTCTGATCAAATTCCAGCTTGTGCTTAGTTTACAGTGCAAGCTTGATCTCACACCAATGCTATTTTAATTTAACCAGGTGGGAGAACATCATATCTCTAATTGCAGGTTACAAATTCTGTGAACTGTCCTGGAGTGGGACAGAGAGAGATGTACCACACAGAAGGTTTCCCTGAAGTTGGAAAAATGAGAAATTAACTACTGTCCTAGAGGTAACAGTGTCATAAAAGGCAGCAGTTTCTCAGGTCACACTGAGACTGATTCAGCACATCTTCTACAGTTGTATGAGATGCAGAGTTGTATGCTGAGTACGAAGAAAGTAGTCTCTGCCCATTTAACCTCTTTGCCTATATAATGAAGTAAGGTTCATAGCAAGAAAATAATTAAAAAAAAAAAAAGCGGGGGGAGGGGGGGGGGAAAGGAGGAGAAACATCTAGGAGAACCTGACACTAGAGTTGTAAGTCGAAGTTGCTGTATCTGCTAATGGGAAAAACAGTAAACTGCATAACTTTCCAGTGCAGCCCAGATGCAGTGCCTTTCCTACTGCCTCCTGAGCACTGGGCACTGGGACATTCTCAGCTGATGTCTGTTCCCAAGGCTCTGCACTTTCTTTTCTGCCGGCCATCTGACTGTTAACTGCCGACACATATCAGCTTTAGTGCCATTCAATTGACTTTGCTAGTTTCACTGCACCTCTGCCGTGTGATTAATCAGCACACTGTGTTGTCTCATAGTTGTCTTGGCTTCCATCTAACTCATCATCGTCATCTGCTGGGCCTGTTATCACTTCCAAAAGTATTCCTATGGCCCTCGAAAAGACTGTGGGGCATCTGCTGCATCCCCACCTTGTGCCCAAGAGGCAATCCCCTCACCCCAGAGGGCAAGCAGCGCAGTCTGTGGCCCCAAACAGCAGTACAGATGGGAGAGTGACCAGACCACAGAGTGTTCTGGTGATCCCCGTGCTGGCAGCTGTGGGCAACCTGCCTCACGACATCCCTCCAGGCCTGCGCTAATTTAAGCCAGAAGCAGCTCTGGACTGGCAGGCAGCTCCGCAGAGAGGTGTTGGGAAGCTGTCCGAGGAAAGCAGGGTGGCTCAGCCTCATTCGGCTCTGCCCACCTCTCCCAGCACCTCCAGGCAGAGCTGAGCTCACCTGGCCTGAGCCTCAGCTACCAGGCACTCTGGGAAGTTGAGGTCGTGCTTCCCCAGGTACCCTCAGTGCGGAAGGCAGCAGGACAGGTGGGGCAGGGACAGGCGGGCAGCCATGAGGTGGGCACTGAGGCGCTCGCACAACATGTCCGCCTCTCCGCAGAGGGAGCGCTTGGCTCGGTCTGTGAAAGCCATTACCAACACAGGATATGCTACCCCTCAGTGCATAAAAGCAGGACTCTCAGAAACAAAGCGCACGACGGCGGTTGCCGTGCCAGCAGTGCCCCGACGGCTGACTCGGAGCAGCTCCGAAGGGTCCCCGCGGCCCCGCTGCCCCACAGTGGGCGCGAGCCGCCCCGCACCACCAGCCCTCGCCGGAGGCGGGAAAGGCGCCGTCCCCCGCCCCGCCTCACAGCGGTGCCGCCCTGCTGTCACACCGTGCCCGCCGGCCGGCGCTCGGCGACCATTTTATCCCCGCTATCACTCTCCATTCTCCTCCCGAACGTGAGCAACGCCGCTGGCGGGAAATTAAACATACAACCACAGCTCCCCGCCCCGCCGCCGGTCGCCGCCAGGGGGCGCCATAACGCTGCCGCCGCCGCCGCCGCCGCCGCTCCCCGTCCCGTCCCGTTCCTCGAGAGCGGCGGAGCCGCGCCCGGTGGCATCGGGACCCCCTCCCGGCCCCGCCGCGGGGTACGGCCGTGCGGCCGCTCTCGGCACCCGGAGGAGGGAGCTCCGAGGGAGGGGGACCCCGTGCGCGGTTTCAGCCGCGCTGCTGGTGAGCCCCGCCGGCTGCCCCCGCTCCGGCCATCCGCACGTCCCCGGGGTCCGCCCTGCCGCCGCAGCCAGCGCTCCCCGCCCGCAGCCAAGTCTTACTCATCCCCTTTTGGAAGGAAACTTCCTTCTTTCTCCCTTTTTTTTTTTTTTTTTTTTCTAAAAGAAAAACCACCCAACATTTACACTCTAGTTGTCCTGGGATGGATTTCTGCAACATGTTTCATTCCTTTAAAAAGGAGGGGGTGGGGGGGAAATTAAGAAAGAAAGAAAGGAAAAAAAAAAAAAAAAAAAAAGGAGGAAAAAAAAAAAAAATGCTTTTGGGTCTTAATCCCTGTGCCCGAAGGGAATGGGGGTGGCCGGGAGGACGTGACAAGTGGGACAATGAGGGCTGGCCCGCGCCCCGTCGCCCCTTTGTGTGGCGGAGTCACCTCGGGGCCGCCCGTGGGGGCGGATGGAGGGACAGAGGTTGTACGCGGGGCCCCATCCCCTGCAGTGGGTGCCCGACCCTCCGGCAAGCCCCCCTCACCCACCCACCGCACACACAGACCCTCTTTTTCCCGCCGTCGGAACTCCCTTAATTCCTTCAGCGATGCTCTCTCACTTTCTTTGTGACACAAAGGCGAAAAGCCGAGGGGCGGTGGGGGAAAGCAGTGCCCCGTGCCCCCGAGAGCCGTCCGTGGCTTTAGAGGCGTTGCTTTGCTCCGCTGACCCTGCGGTCTCTCTCCGCGTCCCCTGCCAACCCCTCCCGTGGAAATGTGGTTCGGACGGTGCCCGTTCTCCGGCTCCTCCGAACAGATGCTGCTACCCGAGCGCTTCTGCCCCACTCTGCCCTGGCAGAAGCTTTCCAGAAACACGAGAGAAAAAAAAATAATAAAATTAAAAAGAAGAAAGAAGTAAAGACAAAAGAGAAAGAAAGAAAAAATGAGGAAAAAAGAAGGAGGTGGGGGGTGGGGTGGGGGGTGGGGAGCGCACAAGGGCGGAGGAGGCTGAGCGCACGCTTTTCCAACGCAAGGAAACCTGGTGGCCGGAAAGGTTCCCTCTGGCCATTCCCTGCTCCTGCTGCACGAGCGCTTTGTGTCTGCAGTACCCGTAGGAAATAGCTTTCTTCTTTCTCCCCTCGGCGAGAAAGTGCCCCATCGCACACCAAGGTGCAGCTCTACCTTCCCGAGCAACCGGTACGAAGACTTCTGCCCGGGCACCCACCCCAAAATTGCCCAGTTCTCTTTGTTCTCCTCTTTGTACCAAGGGGTTTCGTTAGGCGCCCGGGCATCCCTTCTCCTCTCCTCCGGCTGTCGCTGAACTTACCCCAGGTTGTTTAAAATCATCGATCATTACTATCCTCTCCCGCTTAAGGTTTGCCGTTCAACTCTTTGTCCTTACAGGTATCGACAGCGAAACGATCGCTTTAAACCTCACGCTAGGTGTTTGCCGGAGACCACACGTAAAGGAGGGGGTGAGAGGAAAGCGCGTTAAAAAGAGTTATAGTTACCTTAAAAGGTAGCGTATTGCAGAGATTGCAAAAAAATCACAACGCTGTGGCCAGGCTAGTCCAGAGATCCCAGCGGCCGCATGAAAGAGTAAATTCCCTGGTTGGTGCTGGAAGGAGGTGCTGGTTCCGGGGGTCTCCCCTTCGTCCCAAGCCTCCCCTCCCTCCCTTCCCACCGGCGAGCACCTGCCTGCGAGCCGCGCCGAGCTGCGGGCACACGGAGCTCGCATGCAAGTTCAAATGCGAGCCTCAGCCACCCATCATTATTATATCGTTGTACCGTCAGCGCTGCAGAGGAGGGGCGCTGGCTGGTCGAGAGGAGGGTTCTCAGGCTCCACCAGAGCCTCCTCGCGATTGCAATGCTCCCGCAGCCAGCAGCTGGGCGCGGGAGAGACCCCGGCTCCGCGCCGCCCCCGCGCCGCGCAGCCCCCGCGGGCAATGCAGGGGTCCCGTAGCCCCCCGAGAGCCGAGGAGCCCCGCACGGGTCCCTCCGCTCACCGGCATCAGCCCCGCAGAGAGGG